ATATGCCTTCAAGGCATCCTTTTCACCATCTGTACCCTCTTTCTCCACCATGCTATTGTAAAGTTCAATCTGGAAAGATCAAAAGAATCAACTTAAGCAAAATATTGCCAAAGACAACGCATTTGGACTAAAACAAGAACATACAGAAGTATTCTTCTGACTTGAACATGATGCTGAAGACAGCGTTGCATGCATGCATATAATGTGTAGAAGACAGCTCATAAGTAAATCACATTAAAAGTTAAAAAGTCGTCAATCTACACATCCTTCAAACTAAAAGGGGCCAAAGCATAGTGAACATCAACATCATCCACATTCTTCCAATACATGCACAGTACAAGCAGAAACGTGGAAATCAGAACTGGAGACAATATTTGTGATGTATGGTCCTTCTGATAAACTGCAAGCAGTTAACCCTCCAATGCATCTGCATATATCGATCGAGCGGGGGAAGACTAGCATGCATACCTATGGTAAGGGTACTGAAGATAAATGATTCCATCTTAATAGATACCCAATATAAACTAGGAGCAATTAAAGGTTTTAAATTACCTCCTTATTGACAAGTCTCAGGAACTCTTCACGCTCCCTACTCACTGACTGAAATAATGAGTCAATAACAGAAAAAATTAAAAACTGTTAAGCCATAGTGTAGATGATAGTGCTTGAAAATTTGGAAAATAAAAATGAAAAAAGAACAATCAACAATCATAATCATTGAGAGTTATTAAGTCCAGTCCTTACAGATGCAGAAGCCAGAACAGCCAATGCACGACTTATTTCGCAGAGCTTCTCTTCCTTTTCTAGTGTCCTTGCCCTGGCTTGTTCTTGTGCTTCTTTTGCTGTTGGAATAGTCATCTCTTTCAATGCCAAATCCTCTTCACTGGCTTTAATTTCCTTCATCCTGGCTTGCTCTTCTTCCTCTTTCTCTTCCTCCTCCTGCAATATAGTAATTTAGAATCTCTGAAGCCACTCAGTGCAAATAAAGAAGTGAAGTGTCACATGTTAGATTTAATTTTTCAGGAATTTTCTTTTCATAATATAATAATTTAGAATCTCTGGATGATAGTCATAATATTGATTTCTGGAGTTTTGTTTTCAACATTATTATTTGATTGCTCATACTTTTTTTTTTTTGGATTCCGAATTTCAGACAAGTCCAAAACAAATGCATCAAAACTGGCTTAACAAAATACACACATATTTTCCTCCTGATGAAACACCAATAGCTATCTATAAAGCTATCAAGATAAAAGAAAAAATATTTATACCTTCATCAGTTCTTCCTGCATCTGAAGGAAATCCAATTTCCTCCTCCTTTCAGATACAGAGTCTTCAGATGGCAACGACGTAACACCAACAGTATCCACCACTTCATCTGGCAGAGAAGACAGTGTAGCTCGAACAGCGTCAGCTGGATCCAACCTTCCAGACACAATGAAGGCCCTGCATTACACACATCAAACAAAGACCAATTAAAACTGGCTCCGCTATCAAGATATACACGAAGTGTAAGGCTTCTGAATGCAAAAATAAATAAGAAATAAACAAAACCCAAAAAGTTGGGTATACATTTTATGGAGCTTAAGGATACCTGGAAAGGATCAAAAGCGAAGACGGCATGGAGTGATTGAGAGACAAATCCAACCAATCACGAAGCTACATAGAGACGTTAATGAATTGATGAGCAAACAGAACAGTTTTGATACTAACAGCTTTTAGAAATATAGTTATAAAACACTATTTCATTCTACTTGTTGACAATATAAAAGACCATACAGATGAAGTACATAAAAAAAGCCAACATTTTGTATCCACTGTCAACTACTTATGAGTTGCCAAGTCTAAATGGTATTTGAAGCTTCAACCACCTAATTTGCAAGCAAAGAAAGGAGTATCCGGTCTAAGCATAGTATACCTGCTGGCGCATGTCTTCCACAGAACGCAAACCAAGCATGCCACGCTCCCTACAATCCTCACGAAGCTCCTCTTCTGAAAGGGATTCTACACCTTCTTCTTGAATTAACTTATCATCAGCCTTAATCCTGACCAAAAAAAAAGTTGAATAGCATTAAAAAGGAACTCAATCATCAGTTCCTTTTTAGACAAGAGATTGAAAAATTCTTGCATGTTTGTCTACTTACATCAAATGTAGCCATTTCAAATACCGATTAGGATAGTAGCATTTTCAAGGCAGGAAACCTTTCATCAAATGCTCTAAGAAGATGGTATATATTCTCTCCAGAAGAAGAATTTGTATTTCAAACGATTTACTAGAGCTTACATTAGTGAAATATGAAAAAGACATCAAAAACAGATAACTAAGTAAATTTTTATAGAAGAAGTGTTTTGAAATAATCTTGCCTACTCGTAAGTAGGATCACAAAGGATAAATCAAGCACCACACTCTGCATTATAACGAACAGTGTACATACATGTTACCTTCTGTAGTACACCTTGCCATTCACCAGTCTAATTTTTCTAACAATCAAGCTTAAACAAAGGCAGAGTGAAGAGCCTAATAAATAGCTTTGATTTTACATTCACTAAGTTTTACTACTTGTTTCTAAAGGAGGCAGGCTACAACAAAATAATGTACATCTAATATGGAAAGATATGTATCTCACCGACGTAGTCTTTTTCGGAGCATATATCGCAAATATGCATCTGTTCCATAAGGACTGATATTCATATATTTGCACATATTTACTAACCGAGGCCTGAATGAAACAGAAAACAGAGAGCCATTAACTTCACTCACAATTACGTCCGCATTACAGTCAAACAGTAAAATGTTAAGCAATCATGATAAAAGATAACCTGCTGATGTTATCAAGGGTAAGCTCATCATTAAACAACTTAGCAAACCCCAAGATCTCCTCGTTAGAAACCCGTGCACCCGTTCTAACCTACACTTAGAAATAGACAGGTAAGGATAACAGAAAATATTGGAGAAAGAAAACATGGAAAGTGGACCAATGAAACTGAATTCCTCACCTTGTTTAAAAATTCATCAAGATCTTCTGCTGTTTGCTTAGTTTCTCCACTCCTTGAGTTCTGAACTTCCTTTGCCATTTCCTTGGCCGTTTCTTGAAGGAACTTAGCATATTCTATCCTTGCTTTTAGCCTCCTTTTCAATGCTTCCTACACATTGAAAACTCAGGTGAAACCAAACATTCTACAACGAAAGGGGAGAATGGAAAGCCCCAGAAACATACTATATTTGAATACGAAATAAACTGTGTACATGTATCTCCTAAAGAAGAGGAAATAGAATACAGAGATGAAGGCTACAGAACAAGTAACATACGCTGAGTTCGAGCTAAGACCATTACAAATTTATAATCCCTACCTCTTCCTTCAATTTGTCTTGAAAAGTTGATGGCAACATGTTGGGGAACAATTTGAGGAATACTGGCAGCAAAAATTCCATGAAAGGAACAACTATGAAAACGGCAAAGGGAACTAGCCTAAAAATATCAGCTGTTGTGCGGGTTAGCTGTTGTTTCTCCCTTCTAGAGAGAGTCTTGCCACGGGCAAGCTTTAGCAGCAATCTTGAACAGATCCTTACATCAACACCCAGTAGCTTAAAACCCAACCAATAATGCTGCAATGTTGACACAATCTCCGTTTTCCAGTGAACAAGTTTTTTGGCCCAGTCCTCCCTGCAAAACAAACAAAGATGAAACCATGCTGAATAAAAGAGATAATGTACGGGAAATGAATGAAATGATAAAACCCCATTAAACATTCTAACCTGCTCATGGAAGCCACAGCTTTCAAAGCAGGACCAATCCCCAAGAAGGTGGCCCATACTTTCTGCAACATGGGTTTGGCAGACTTGTCCTTCTGAGATTCTTGCAACTTTTTGGCCTTGGCGGCTTTTGCAGTACTCAAACCTTGGACAGCTTGATCGCAATCCTCTGGAGAAGCCTGCTTTTTCTTTTTGGCAGCCAGACGTTCGTTCTCCTGATCATCAATCGGTTCCGTTTGTTTAGCTGCCGCTGCTGCTGTGGCAGCTGTGGAAGCATTTCGAATCGACTGTGACATCCATCGGTGAGATATACCCACCGTTGTCCCTGAGATGAACCCTAATCGCCTAAATTCGTCTTTTGCTACTGAAACTTTATCATCGCCATCATCATTGTTACCCCTATGCATATGCATGATGATGCTGCTGAAACCCTTGGACTCCGATTTCTGAGAACCATGGTAGTGCCCAAGCCACTGGAACCCAGGGGTTGTGCGAGACGAAGCCGTCACATAGTCCGTGACGATTCTCTTCCTTCTCAACATTGCTCTCGAAGCCATTTCCCAATTTCACTTTCAGATCTCCCTGGAAATTTGCCAATGACCACTGAAACACATAATCAACTGTGGCAAAGAAAAAAAACAATGCTACGATGCCACAAGGGCTCCTGGCGTTTCGTGTTTTAAAGAAACCAATGGATTGAAATTGAAACGATTTCCAAGAAGAAGGTCAAATTGAAACTCTTGAAAGCTTGGTGTTTAGGGGTTTAGGGGTTTATATAACAATATAATAAATAATTTTAAAGAGAACCAAAACTGACCGTACCAACCAAATTTTTATCCTCTAGCCATTTTGCGCAAACCAAACCAGAAAAAAAATAATATCCAACTTGTTTGACAAGAAAATGACGCCGTCAAGTAACAAAATTACAAGACTAGTGGCGCTAGCGACTCTCTCGATAAGAATTCGTTTCACCACAACAAATTTATCTCTGCGTAAAATCAATTTATATCATGTCACTTATAAAATACATAAATTTAGTGGCCTAGTTCTATTTGCAATGAGCCCAGGTGCAGTGTTTTTTTTATATATTTTATATATTTTTTCTTGACAACATTTCTGTGAGTTGCATATGAGAATTTAGGAAAAACTGTGTCGAGTCTTCTCTGTTGTTTACATTCTCTCCGCCGTTGACAATTAATTGAAATTTTCACAAAAACAAGAACATAAAATTATGTGACTAAATGTATTAGTGGCGAAAAAATATAATGACTAATCTTCGATTGCAACCAATTCCGCAAATAAAAACTACAATGGACGCATTTTGGCATATTCGGTCCGAGATTCTGTGTGGGCTCTTTTCACCACTCGAAGTCAAAAAGCGCAGTCGATATAATGGGGATAAGAAAATCCAAAAATAAAATGCTACAAAAATCAGAAAATTAGCCTCAACTCAAACGTAAAAATTAAAATATCCAAAACTTTTTATATTCAGTGACAAAAGAAAAGGGGGAATGAGACAGAGGTTGATGTAGAAACATGGTGCGAACACATGCAAACCCCAAACTACGTAGAAGCTCATTTCTTCTTCCCAGCCTTGGCAGCATCACCAGCCTTGGTCTGCACATAACAATGCAATTCAAGAAAACGTTACAACAAAAGAGTGAAGGCACTGCGACACTGGAAACATACAAAGGCTCCAAAAAGAAAAATAGTGCAAGCTTAGCATGTGCCGACAAATTTAACGACAATTTTCATTACCTTCTTTACTCCGCGGATCTTCTTGGATCTGTTCTTCCTTTCCTTGAGTTGCTTCCTTGACTTTTCCACCTTTGTATCCAGTCCGTTCTGCAAAAGTACCCAGGGTTGAGTTTGAGAGAGAGATTTATAAAGATCCAAGAGATATTCCCCTAAGGACATGCGCATCTCAAGCCAAACCAAAAACTGATTGTTAAACTACCCCAAGAAGATGCATATGCAACAACTAAAAGATACCTATTCACTGAAATCAGAGCATCATCATTTGACACATAACCAATGACTGTTAACTTGGGAAAGATTGCAAAGCCTGATTTTGCAGCATTTAAAGCCAATACTTGCCCGAAGCAGAAGTCATATATTTCATATGCAGCCAAATGGATTCATTCAAATTCCAGAAAATCTTTGGACAGAAGGTGAAAGAGGATCAAAATAAACTAATCTGCAGACTCAAAACAGATGCACCCCCCTTCATAACCCCTTTGTCCGCAGTTGATCTCTACAGTTAATGAATAGCCTCAAAGGGACTTTGTATCAAATTCATGCTATAAATAAATAAAATCCAATCAATGCACATTTTGAATGACTACATAGATAAACATAGGTCCATGCATCAAAAAATGCATTATACATCTAATGGGCTATTGAAAAAGAAGGTAAAGTTACCCTGATCAGCCTGTACTTTGGCTCATACTTCTTTGCATTCTCAACAGAATCATAGATCAAACCAAAACCAGTGGATTTGCCCCCTCCAAAATGGGTGCGGAACTTGAAAACAAAGATGGAATTTGGATCCTTCACTTCATACAACCTTGCTAGTTTCTCCTTCAACTCCGCCTTCATTATGACAGGAAACAGAAAATTATTTTAAACCGACAGAACAATCCACTAAGCGAGAAGAATGTACAACTCACAATATTTAAAGAAAGATTAGTAGCACAAGATGCTGGTATCAATAACGTCTAAAGGAAGATTATAGATAGATAGTGAAACTAAAAACGGTTGATTATACAGTGCAAGCAAAACCTCCAAACCATTGTCTAAGTCTTTAAACTTACAAATAACATAGCACATTTAGCATAACAAAGCTATAGTTTTGATTCGAGTAGTGAAAATGTTAACCTTAACATTAGAAAATCAAAGGCCCATTGAAAAAGAAAGCGAGAGCTCAAAGACAGAGAACAAACCTTGGAAACATTCGGTCTTCCTGGATGCAGGACATCGATAACCTGCACCGGATAAAAAAAAAAACTAAAAGTTAATATACCATTTCAGTGTTAACATACTATGCTAGATGCACTATTCCAGATCGGAGACCCGTCGAGTTCGAAATTCAATTTATAACATAGGATTGTTTGGTTAGTTTCTTTCTTTCTTCTTTTTCCTACGTATTTTCTAGCTGACCAAACAGGACTAGTTGGTAGAAGACTTACGAATTGCTTTCTCGAGAGAAGACGGTTGGTCATGAACTTCCTCGTACGGATCGTGACCGCTTTGGTATCCGCCATCGCTGTGTCTACTCTAATCTCAGAGTCTGCGCCTCCGCTCTTGTTTGCGCGTTTGCCAAGGAGGAAGACAAAGGGTTTTAGGGTTACTACTAGTAGACTTGCGGTGGATATATTGGGCCTCCGCTCTCCAAGAAGCCCAGCCCAACTGATTCCGAGTGGTTAACGCAAATTACTTAAGACACCCCACACCTTTTAATTCTAACTTTATTTATTTATTTTCATTTGTTAAGTTGAAAGCATGATTTCCAGTGGGAAGTAATATATCTTTGGGTTAATTAAACTGAGAAACTGTGCTGTGTGTGATGATGACACATACGGATACGAAACAATGAAGCAGGGAAAGCGAAGAATATCATAAGATTATCAACGTCTGTATAATCATGGATAAGTAAATATAATAATATGTACATACAAGAAAATAAAAAGATCATTTTATTTTTGGAGCTTATGGTAATTAATAGGACGACCACATCCACAGAAGAAGAAGAAGAAGAAACTTCATTTCATTTTGATGGCAATGCTGCAGCAGCTGCAGTGTGTGATTCAACCAGTATGGACCAGAGGACATGCACATCTTCGCATGGACAGGATCTCACATCCTTGTACAAGATATATATCCCTCTACCTGCATTAATTGTCAAATGAGAGATTACATTACATACATACATGAACACATGACAAATTTATTAAAGACAATGCAATTGATTGATTGATTGATCGATTGATTTCAAAGCAAAAAAGCATACAAATCAGTACAGAATTGATATTGAGATATATGGAGAAATGTAATGCATCTAGAAAGAAAAAAAGGGAAGATAAAAAGATAAATGGGAATAAAATGAATTACGCTTTCTGTGGGTCGAGTGTAGACGATCCCAGAGCTTCTTCAGTGGGGAGACGAGGGACTGAAGCCACCCCATCCCCATAGGCGTATATATTTTAACAAGTACTAGTTAGGTTAAGGACTTAGAAGAAGAGAAGAGAAGAGTATGGTGTGGTGGGTTTGAAAATTAAAGTTGAGTTGGAACTTGAACTTGGAAGGAAGGAAATGAGAATAAGCAAATTAAGGAGTTGAATTTTTCTTTAAAGTTTAAATAATGAGTGAGTTTGGTTTGCTTATATTAGAGACGAGACGAGACGAGACGAGATGACAAGGATGATACTGCAGGAGGCCAATCATACAACAAATATATATGACTATTGTTGAGGAGTCTTTGTCACAGGCACCCTTCTCCCCCTGCCTGCCACTAGTACTAGCAAAGAAAGAGCTAATCTGATGATTATAATTACCCAGAACTATTCTTCTTGCAAACCCCTTTTCTCAATTTCTATTTCTTTCTTTCTTTATTTCTTTCACACTTGAGGCTATGCTTGTGCCTCAAGTCAAGCCTCTGTTTTTATTAATAACACACACCACTGCACTCTTTACCCCTTCCACTATGATATATGTTACTTTTATTTTATCAATGACAATGTCTATTTCCACTGTCCACACCCACCCCACTCCAACCACTTGTGCAGTTGTAGGGTTTTTTCTTGGTGTTGTGTCGTCAAATACAAGTATGAATTAATAATGTATGATCCAGGCCAGGAGGAGGGGTTAACTTAGTGATAAGGTAGCAAGCAAAGCAGTCTTACAAGCAAGACCTTGGATTGGTTCTAGTACTTCTATTAGTCTTCCTCTTCACCTTGAAGCTACCTTAATTACCCTACCTTACTACCATTACAACAACAATTAATATATGGCATAATGGAAGCAAGCTTGCTTTCGAAAAGAAAGAAAGAAAGGGCCAGCATATACATATATATATATATATATATACACACACACACTTCACCTGTCTTGATTGGGATTTTCAATCTCCATGACAAGGCAAGCAAATAATTCCAATGAAATGAATCGCTTCTGTTCCTTCCTGTAGAATGGAAATGGACCTGAAACAAACAAGGCTATTAATATTTATACCGCCCGGAGGAGAGGGAGAGGAGGGGGGCTTCAAGTAACAACCAAGCTCGTGACAATGTGGAAATTACAAGAGATAAAAATTAGAATGCGCTTTCTTTAATCCTCCACCAACACTCAAACACTTGTCCATGTTTCAATTTATTTCAAGAGTACGTAAACTTGTTCAACAACTGCAAAGTCAAGTGTGGTCATTGAAGGGATTCATTCATTAGGATGCAATGATATTTTTATGGTTTACGAGGAGGAGGAGGAGTACATAATTATCTGCGGAGTACATAATTTGTAAACAAATGATCTATAATCAAGAATACTTTTTCATACATGATTTTGATTGATACATAGAAAGTAAGGAACTGTTCCAGCTCCTTCGCATTGCAAGCAAACCAAGAATATGCAACTCTCTATGCTGACGACCCAATTCATTTGTCCAAATCCAAAGCCCCAGACCACCGATCGAGTCTACCCCCAAGTCCTTTACTATATTCGTATTCCTTCCCATGGAACTGAACTCACTGCCTCTTATTTATTTCCTGCATGTAATCCAATCCAATCATATTATCATGTATTACAGTGCGTCAGAAAATGAAAAACAAGCTATAACAACTAACATATTATCTATAGTCTCATCCAAAACGCATCTCACTCTGAGACTGACTTATACAGAAACATTGATATTGTCGATGCAACATTCTCTCCCCTTCATTTTAATATGTACATGAAACCTACATCTTAGGATATTATAATTAGAAGAGAGACGTACCAAGGAAGTTTAAACGTGTCTTTCCACCATCCCTGCTTTGAGCAATTTGCAACTATCTTGTCCAACCGCACAATAATCTCAGAGAAAATTGGCCTAACAACAGGTTCTGGATCCCAACATTCCTCAATCAACCTGCACACATACCATAGTGGCAGTGGCATCATCAATTAAGCATCAAAATCCTTCTTTCATATATAATAATGAGAAACAATTATTGCATCATACTAAGTAAGTCATCAGAGATACTCTTCACAGTCAAATATTGTGTAAAACTAGAAACTTTCGACATTACCCTGATGATGCTAAACCTCAAGATATGACTTGACATGAATTCTTGTATATATGTCAGACTAGAAGAAGACTTAGAAATTTCTGAAAAGATAAATCTCCCAATGACAGTCACTGAGATCATTTGTGACTTGCAAAGGTACTGGTGATCTTATTAGTCCATGAAGGATACAACTACAGATAAGAGTTTTCTCTTCTTTCAAAGAAAAAAATGAAATCCATACCGAACCTGGATTTTGATAAGCTATCTTGCAAGGAAAAGAATAAACACATGATAACAGGATGCCAACTGAACAAAGTCCAGGTGTCTAGGGCATTACATGCTTTATTTTGAGTTGTTAAATGGCTTTTGTATTTCAACAAAAAAGAAAAAGAAAAAAAAGGGGGCTCTCGTAATTGGAACAACAAACTTCCATCAACTTTCCCAATAATTTGGACTGAACTGAATTTAAAAGCAGACATCTGAACTGATAAATTGGAATACCTTAAGCTGTAAACAATTTGATGACTTATATTGAAATCAAACTTACTCTTTTAGTACAGGGGGATAACTTTTTGATTTGGTCCTCAACTGCGGTCTTGTTCCTTCCAAACACATCAGGTTCACAGCCTCTTCTATAGGCTTGGGATGGAATGGTTGTATTCCCTCAATCATCTACACCCATATAAAGACAAACAAGGAACAAGTTTAACACTTCATTTCCAGCTGATAAACAACTACGTTATTGTTGTCTGCATAACATCTTCCGTGAAAGGTAGAAAGCAAAAGCCACACACAAAGTGCCCCAAAACCACAAATGTTTTAAAATCAGAATCAAAAGTCAGTGTCTGCACGAGTGTTACATTGACACAGAAGTGCTTTGGGGAGAATGTGAGTTTACTTGAGTATGTGATGTATTTACACGAGAGTCAGCATATCTAACCCCAGGAAAGTAAAAAATCATTTAGCAGTGCTAAACTGACAATGAATTAATGTTTAGAACATGATGAAGATAGTAAAAAGGAAAGACACCTCATATAATATGAGACCGAAAGAATATGCATCCACACTTCTGTCAAAAATTTCATTCTTGTAGATCTCAGGTGCCACATATAAACCTACAATGAAAGAGACAAGATATAATTTCTATCCTCAAAGACAAGGATAATTTTATATTAGAGTGCAAGTGTGAGAGATGGATCCAAGGCAGGAAGAGGTTTAGTTGTACAAGAACTTACTTGAAAGGTCAGCCCAAGGCTGTGCTAGTTTTGCTTTGTCAGGTGAAATTTTTGACAACCTTATCAAGCCAAATCCAGCTACCTTCAATTGACCTCCATTATCGAGCAAAATATTTCTGGCACCTTACCAAAATTTCAAATATTAAATAACCGTACATACTGACCAGAACCATAATAATTCAATAGCCAATTGTTACAAAAATTACATCAACTTATGCATTTGGTCATCTTACTTTGGCTTTAAATCGCAGTGGATTATTGGGTCTGGTTTACATTCATGAAGATAATTCATGCCCCTGGAAACAGAACAAGAAAAGAAAAATGTCATAATGTAAACAAGCCAAAACAAGCTACAGAAGTGTTAGAAGGATGAACAAACTTGAGGTACTCATAGGTATGAATCATATGATAAGATTTATGTGCTTGTTATATAACCAACAAACTTTCTGAAATGTTTATAAGCACATCTATGATGTCTGTAGGGTGAAATCTCTATTCGAATGAAGACCGTAAGGCTTTTAAAAGAATAATTGGTAGAAGAAAAAATAATGTACATGCCTTGCAATGTCAAGAGCAAATCTTAGGGCTTTTGATGGGGATAAGCGCCCTTTCTTTTGAAGATAGCTTCCCAAGTCACCCTGAAAGATCACCATCAAAGCATTGACAAATCATGGTTACGATATTTAAGTATATAAATGTGTGTGTGCGTGTTCATGACATACGCTACTACTACATAAACACAAGTCCTCCATTATCAACCAAATGTATTGGGCCTGTTCCTTAATCATGACTGACAACATAAATGTATGCACCTCTAAAATGGAACATCTTTCATGGTGTGTACCTAGCCATCCCACTACATTATCAGAACCACTCTATTTGGCACTAAAAAGTCTACAGTAGATCTGAACTCAAATTTTGGTGTACGCACATGTGCATGAGAGAGAGAGAGAGAGAGAGAGCTTACTTTCGGATGATACTCTGAAACAATCATCATGGGTATATTTTGGGTAACAGCACCAACAAACTGAACAACATTAGGATGCCGAACCTTCTCTAACAACTCCAGCTCATTTTTGAAAGCATTACTGTTTGATTTAAGAAAATATGAAGAATAAAAAAAAAGTATGTGTCACAAAAAGTACATAGAAGTCTATAACACCATATCACTGAACTAATGGCTTCGCAACTAACTAAGGAGCAGTTCAAAGAGTGACAAGAATATATGATTTTTTTTATTTATCAAAGACAAGAATATATGATTTATATATTAGAAATAAGTATAATACTACATCACCTACATCACCACAATTTTGAATGTTTTACCCAAAGTTATGCTAACAGATACTAGATAGTAGATTGTATGAGTTCATTAGTTAAGTAGTTAATTGTTAACGACACAGATAATTAGGCAAAAAATGGGGGTGGGGGGATGTGAGACATACATGCTTTCAGGATCTGAATAGCTTTCCTTGTCAAGTATCTTTACAGAAACCTTGGTACCATTCCATTTAGCCACTTGATACGTTCCCTGTTGAGGTGGAGAGAGAAACATATCTGTAATCTGTCTAAATATATTAAACATATATTTGATAAGGAATTAAAAATAACGAAATCCATGGGTAGTGTAGCTCTACCCCGATAAAATTGCATGCAGCCCTTGTCTCCTCTAGAGATTCATCAAAACAGCAAGGGTTTCCTCATTTATTTAGAAGATGGTAAATTGTGAACTTCTCAGGAAATTAAGAGTTTCCAGTCCATGATATGTATGATAGTGTTTAAAATTGAAGGCAGAACTTTTTATTTTGGTACAGAAAAGAAAGAATTTTTGTCTTTGCAATACATAATTTCTTCTGAAAAACGTGGCAAATCCTAAAGTCAATCTGATATGGCTGATATATTATAAAGCTTATTAGCATAATGACGGAAAAGAGACCTTTGTCAGTGAACACTTTGAAATCAGTTCAAGAATAAGGGACTCAGACTTTCAATTTTCTCATATTGCTTATGATGATGGAAATGCAGAGAAACTGCCTTCAAGTCACCCTAAAACTAGAGACATGACATACCATTACTACTAGAGCAGCAGGAATCTATAAATAGCAGAGAAAGGGGACAACCTTTGAGATACCATCACTCTTTCGAACTTGAAGCTCTAACGGATTGAGCTCATACTCAGGAACTTCTCGAGGATTTGCAACAGTCATTGGTGTCTTCCTGACTTTCTAAAAAATAAAAACAGAGAATAAAAATTGGTGAATCTGCATCCACCAGCAGGCAGGCCTGGAAATTTCAATCACAGAGAAGAAAGAAATTGATAGGACTATACCGGTACTTTGGCTCCACGTGCCTTGAGAATATTGTAAACTTCTGTATTCCCATAATACTTAGCATCAGCAGCTGCCTGTCCACATTGAGCACACTTGATATTCAATTTCCTCCAATTATAATATATAAATTATAATATGGAAGCTGCAAACATGTGTTTTTCTTCTTCATTCTCTTTATATCAATAATAATCTAATGACAATTTATTAATTTAAACAAACACTGATCGACAATTAAACATAAGAAAGAAAGAAAAAACATCTGCATTCATAGAAGCATAGGAGGATGAGGCAGAGGTTTTATAATCAATCGGAAGGATAATTGATTGACCGCCGACCAGACCAGGCAAGAAAGAAGGAGAGTATAATATAAATGGAAGTAGTACCGTACTGCCCCAGCGATCACGTGCATCGATATTGGCCTTGCGGGTAAGCATGAGCCTAACAACGTCAACGTGACCCTCGCATGCGGCTATATGGAGGCCCGTACGGCCATCCAAGTCGATGCTGTTGACGTCGACGCCTTGATTGAGGAGGTCCTCAACGCCGTTGACGTCGCCACGGCAGGCAAGGAAGAGGAGTTGCATGGTGGAGTCGAGATTCTCGGGGACGGAGAGATCGACTTCGTCTTCATCGTCGTGGGAGGGGCTGCGGCGGATGGGGTCAAGGGAAGACTGCCGGCCGAAGCTGAAGCGCAAGTTATTCCTTCTCGGGTCCAGCGACGACTGGCGACTAAACTGGCGACTCAGGTTCCGCCGCAGAGACCCCGTCGAGAACTGCCGCGATATCCCTCGCTTCAATTGCGCCGCGATGTGCTCCATGTTTAATTCAAATTAATGCAATTACTCTTTCTTTCTGAGTCAATGGCAATTGCAATTGCAATCTTATAGTATTTCAATTGCAAATGCAAATGCAATTGCAAGTCAATTCAATTAGGCGCATGTAGCAGGTAGCTGCGGTTAATATTAACGTTTCTCTCAGCAAAAAGAATAACAGGATAGATGCCAGGTAGCTAGCGACGCGTAATCATCCTTTTTCATGACACAAGGAGGAGATTCGTCTTCTTCTTGGATCAACTTGTGGAAATCAACAATGAAAGAATGAATGAATGGTGGTGGTGGTGGTGGTGGTAGGTGTGGTCGGGATCGAGAGCTTGTATGGGGATGAGCCCAGAGGGGGTGAAGCTCTCGATGCCGATCGATGCAGATGGAGGAGGTAAGGAGGAGGAGGAGGAGGGAGGAGGGGGGAGGAGAGGGTGTGAGTTTGTGGGGTCAGAAAATGAGAGGGAGAGAGAGAGAGAGAGATGGTTGAGATCCGAGTGAGGCGCGCATTCAACAAGTAGAGAGAGAAATTCTTTGGGCGTGTAAGACGCGGCAATGCCAGTTTGCTTCAGTTTCTGTTATTCACGTAATTAGAGTATTCATCCTGAAACTGAATCTTGCTTTGTTTGCAAATACTAAATAGGGTAAATTGAAATAAATACTCGTATTAATATCTATATATATAAAGCAAAAGGCAGAGAATGGTGAAACATTCAAAGTACCAGAAAATGTCTTTGGTTAATTCAAATATTAAGAATTGAAATTATTAATTTAATAAGGATTATATGGTAAATTCACAATTACAAAATTAAAAATAAAAACAAAATCAGATAATGGATCCTACTTTTATAGAAAATAATTATCCTTTTTTTTTTCTTAATTCTAAAAACAAAACAAAAAGAAAACCAATTGGCACACGCGTGAGCGTGTGGCAAGGGGCTAGTTATCTATATATATAAAGCAAAAGGCAGAGAATGGTGAAACATTCAAAATACAAGAAATTGCCCTTTGTTAATGCAAACATTAAGAATTGAAATTATTAATTAAATGAGGATAATATGGTAAATTCACACGTTTTCATATTTTAAAAAATTAAAATTAAAAAAAAAATCAGATAATGAATCCTATTTTTATGGAACATAACTATCCATTATCTTTTTTAATTCTAAAATAAATTTAAACTTTAAAAAAAAAAAGCCTCTCGCAAACACGGAAGTGCGTGCAAAGAGGCTAGTATTATTATTATGGCTATGATATGAATGAATATCTGGGGGTGGTTGGATTTTCTTTTTCTTTTTCTTTTTCTTTTCTTTTCTTTTTATGGATAAGTTATGCATATATTAGCTATTTTTGCTCTCTCTTCTCAGAGAGTGAGAATCAGACAACTTACAAGTGTGTATTGAAAGGGATTTTGACATGTTTGTTTGTTGAGTGATAGGGATGGGATGATGGCAATATCGCCCCTTTATTATTAAAGTAGAGCTGGAGTTGGAGCCGGAGCTGAATGAATGCCATGCGTCGATCATCAGTTGTCCACTTGTATTGTAATTTCTAGGTCAATGGATCTGACCGACAAGGTCAAACCTTGGATTTATTGCACACAAGTTGAACCAAGCTGTCACTTATCATCATCAACATTTTCTCTTTTCTTAATTTTAATGGGGAAGTTAACATTATATAATACATTATACATACCATACCACCAGTGGCAGTGTCCACTGCCATCTGTAAACAATTTTAGAGACATCATCCATCCATCCATCCAGATCCACCCAGATCCACATGATTCATGAAACAATCAGTCTGAGAAAGGATTGCAACAATCTTTAAAGTCCCCTTTTTTTTGTCTCATCCACTTTATTTTGAGATGTGAATATATAGTTAAACCAAATAATACGATTCAGCAATTATTGAGACTCGACTCACTCCAATCCGCTTCCGTGACAATTCCATCAATTCTTATTCCACCACCAAAAATAAAAAATAAAAAAATAAAAAGAAATGTTATTCTATGTTATCGCTATCCACCAAACCAAAAGGAGGAAAATCCAACTATATCTCATCCTAATCTAACCATGTTCAACGTCTTATATTTTAGGATTTTAGTGCCTGCCTAATTCTGATTACTTTTAAATGAAATTTTAGTGCCTGCCTAATTCTGAATAATACTTATTATTAAGATGAATGAATTTGATGGTTGATTGATTGGCTGCTCTGTTCTCAAAGTGAGGAGAGACCCACCTTTGGAAAGCAAGAGCAACCATATCAATTATTAATTAATCATAAAAAGTAATATTAATAATAACTAATCTGAAATGTCTGAAAGAACATTACCAAACAATAACAACTAACTGTGTATATAATCTACTCAGTGTGGGTTGGCAGCACAGGTAAACTTAGGGAACATTACTATAGCTATAGGAGACACAACACAGTTAAACTTACCTTCACCATCATGAGTGAGATCAAATCAAATTAGGTGAATTTCCATTCTAACTGATCAAGTCAAAGTGTTTCTCATCACAGAGTCCCTTCACTACAACCCCTCCCTACAACTCATCAAAAAATTCAAACAAGGCCAATGATTCACATATCTTGATGCGTACACGTACACGTACCTGTTCCTTCTCAAAGCAAACTAAACTAAAAACATCTATGATTTCTCTGACGACAAGATTTATGCATCTTAGAAAGTTAAAAACATAAAAAATAAAACAAAATAGCATGTTCAACATCAACATCCAATTTTATCATCAATTTCGTATATCATACATAATAAGATTTTGCAAAACCAGACACGAACCATGGTAAAATTGTAGCAAATGCAAGCTCAAATTGATTCAGTTAATCAACACCAAACATACTTGATACCAAATACTTAAAGTAAGAAATGCATGTATCCAAAAGATAGTCACAGTTGAAACTAATAAGCAACTTACACAGCGTCATCCAAAAACAAACACTTTGAGAAACTTGATAAGGGAAAAAGTTATACGAACCTTGAATATTTTATGACGAGTTCAACTTCTAAGTGCGACTTTTATTGCTATCTGAACTCATCAAAAAGCTCTAAATTCCACAGCAGTGTCAAACCAAAGCAATGAGAATGATACAACACTATTTTCTACGCTTGTTGGGACCAGTCTTGTAGCCACCCTTTGTAGGCTTGCCCCAAGGTGTTCGAGAACCCTTCCCATGAGAACCACTACTCTTGCTCTTACCCTCACCACCACCATGAGGATGATCTACTGGATTCATTGCCACTCCTCGAACCGTCGGTCTGCGGCCTAACCACCGGCTCTGCCCAGCCTTGTAGAGCTTCTTAGGCTTATTTCCTTCACTGGGGACCGTACCAATCGTGGCCTGGCACTTAGAATCAATCCACTTTTCAACACCCGAAGGCAGTCTCACTAGACACCTTGAAGTGGGTTCTTTCAAAATCTTTGCGCAAGTACCTGGTGCTCGAACTAATTTGCCACCTTGACCTGGGTGCACCTCGATGCTGTGTATTTTGGCATGAATGTGCATATCAGCAAGCGGCATGCACCTTCCGGATTGTGAATTGATATCATAGTGAAAAAACTGATTACTTGCCCCAACCACATCTGTGGAAATATCTTAAACAGTAAGATTCATTTTGGCAGCAAGAAGGTAATGAAAATGCAGCTTAGTTCAAGAATTCACTTAAAATCTCCACTTGGTCAAATTAACTCAAGGGCTGGAGTAGAGTCAGCAGACATTTCCACTTTGTACAAAAGCAAGCAACAACAACACTTATAGTCAAATTGGGTGCTCCTTATCCAACAAGTACATATTCAGGCATAAAAACAATTTTTGAGTGAGCTTAATAAAGCAGCAAAAATCAAAGTTTTTGACCCCTCATAGATCCCCAAAAAAGAAATAGTGGAAATTGAAAACCTCATTTTTCTTTGCCCTACATTTCAGAGCAATCAAACGGCAATTTGGCTTAAATCTCATCCTCAATGTGTTTAAAGCACAAGCAACCCTTTATATAAAGATTATATATCAGCTAATTTAAATTGAGCTGCATACGATTTTTCCAACGGTACGATAAACAAAAATATATATACAACAACAATTCTTTTTCTGGTTAAGGAAGATGTAATGAGGAAATATGTCGAAATACCGGTGGAGAGAGTGCGACAGGCAGTGGTGGTGCTGATGGCGTTGAAGTGGCCGCCGAGGAGCCTGTTGAACAAGGTCGACGAAGCCGCTCGAGCTCTCCACAGAGCCATTCGACCGCTTGTAGGGTTTTCTTTCTCAGTTACTTCCTTGTACCACGTCACTCACCAGCCAAGTTCTTGAGTGGGAGAAATTATAGAATAGGACTGTATCTCCATGTCAGCTTGTGATACTCCCATTCAAAATTTGCCATGTGTTATTTTTTATATTAAAAAACATAAGTTTTTACAGCTGGATTTAAAACTTCTTTTTTATATTCATAATAAAACTAAAGAAAAAATAAATCGAAAAAGACAGAAAAGGACAAAGAAGACGCCGGAAACCACCTCACACCCGACCCAACCCCTTACCCAGCACTGCCGCCCCTCCCTCTCCTAACTGTCTCTCTAAAAATGCAAGGTGTCTTGAACCCGTGGAATACCACCTGCAAGATAACATAAGCATTGAAAATGAGTCCAATTTTATTCAATTACCATTAACACCCATCTCTCACCTAAACCTTTTTCAGATCTGATTGCATCTGTCAACAAATGAGTGAGGCCTTCAAAAAGAAGAAATATAGATGGGTCTTTGGTAGCCACCAAAAGGGGGAGAAACAAGGATTGGGATATGGTTAATTTATTGAATTGCGTGAGAGAGAGAGAGAGAGAGGGAGGAAGTAAGAAAGAGAGACACTGGAAGAGAAAGAGAGGGAGGGGCGGTGGCCAAGGGGAGGCTGCGCAGGGTAAGAGAATGGATCAGGGTGGGTGATTATGTCTCTTTCCTGATTTTTTATTTTCTTAATTTTATTTCAAAAGATAATAATGGGTTTCTTTTCCAACTATAAAAAAAAGCTTTATTTATTTTGAAAAATGACACATGGCAAATTTTGAATGGGAGTATCACAAGCTGACATGGTGGTACAGTCCTATTCTATAATTTCTCCTTGAGTGGGACCAACGAAGATACTGAAGTACAACGAGAAATCTGACTTGGCTACCCAAGGGTATTATCGTCAATCTAATTTACTAGAAACAGCCGGCGTCGTTATTGGGAAGTGGTGGTAAGCTAAACTAGTAACAGCTCTTTCATTTCATTCCCATTTCTCTGTCTCTGTTTCTGTCTCTCTCTCTCTCTCTCAATGGCATTGGCGGCGACCATTTCTTCAGCTCATCCCTCTCCGAAACTGTCTTCGTTTTCGTCGGAGCATCCTCCTCTAGCCTTAGGGTTCTCTGATTCTCTAGCGTTTCCTTCGACGGGTTCAGGTGGTACTTGGAGATCAATAAGCCACAGCTATGAGCGCAATAAGCAGCAACTCGCCGTCCCTGCTAGAAGCTTCGATCAGAAAATCGCAGATAAAGCCTTCTCTTCAAACGGCTCTCCTCCTTCAGCCAGCCTCTCCAAGTATGCATGCAATTCTATAACTAATTAGATTAGATTAATAATTAATGATCATTCATTCGATTCGATTAGTTGATTTATTTTTTTATTAGATTAAATTACTTACAATGAATGAAGCAGGGTAAGAAGGCACGCGATTTCAGTATTCGTTGGGGATGAAAGTGGAATGATAAATCGGATAGCAGGGGTGTTTGCGAGGAGGGGGTACAACATCGAGTCGTTGGCCGTGGGTCTAAATAAGGACAAAGCACTCTTCACTATAGTCGTCTCTGGAACCGAAACGGTGTTACGCCAAGTGATTGAGCAGCTTAACAAGCTTGTCAATGTTCTCATGGTAATATTCTTAAGCCAAATCATTGAAGATTTTCTAACTCTTCTTTATCATTCATTGATGAACCTCTTACAATTAACCAACGTTGTTTTTTTTTTTTTTTTGAGTTGTTGATTACTCTGCATTTTTTTGTTTTCCTTACTGATTTTTCAGTTTTTTTTTAACATCTTTTACAATGTGATGGGTAGGTTGAAGATCTCTCCAATGAGCCGCAGGTAGAACGTGAACTAATGCTTATAAAAGTTAATGCCGATCCAAGTTACCGTGCCGAGGTAGTTACAGAGCCATCCCTGCTATATATTTGATATTCAACATTAGCTTGTTTTCCTCAAGGTTTTTTGTTTTGTTTCTGTTTCCCCAGATAAAGTGGTTAGTGAATATCTTTAGAGCAAAAATTGTGGATATCTCAGAACACTCGGTAACTATCGAGGTAATGATTGGTAGGCCTTTCGATGAGAGCTAGTGAATATTCGTACTTCTTCCTTTATTTCCAGGACTGAGCATGTATACATTGATTTTACCAAGTTACTTTTTTTTTTTAATCATCTAGGTGACAGGAGATCCTGGGAAGATGGTTGCTCTGCAAAGAAATTTTAGCAGGTTCGGGATCAAAGAAGTTGCAAGAACCGGAAAGGTGTCAAATTAATAGAGCATCAATGGAATTCTAGTCGTTTTTCTTCTCCTTCTAGCATATCATATTAATAGTCTTTTAATGATGTATTTCATTTGTCAATGTCTTTACTTGTTCTTGCCTGTAGATTGCCTTGAGGAGGGAAAAGCTGGGTGCATCTGCTCCATTTTGGCGATATTCAGCAGCTTCATATCCAGATCTTGAGAGAACAGTTCCTGTTAATGCTCTTGTGGGGGATGAAAACAGATTAGCTAATGCTGAATCTGATATATCTTCTGGGGTATTTGCTTCTTCAGCCTTGCATTTATTTAGCCCTCATCAAAAACATCTACTTTACTCTGTTTTTTTGGTTTCGTGTGCATCTTTCAATTTGATGAGATTTAGACAGATTGGAATTATTAATAAATGGGGACTTTTGGACTCTTTTTACACATGTACTTCATAATAAATAGAACTGTTTAATCATAAGGTCTTCCATAATGCAAGATTCATTGTGAAAGTTCATCAGTAGCCCATTTAAATCTTACGAAGGAGCCATCTTTGAATGCAATCATTCCACTTTTATCTTGAAACAGTGATGTATTCTATCCTTTTTTATGTGACGGAAAATCATTATTGACTCATAGATTGATCTATATATATTTGTTCATGAAGGGTGATGTTTATCCCGTGGAGCCGTCTGATACCTTTACTGTCAATCAAGTTCTTGATGCTCATTGGGGTGTTCTCAATGACGAAGATGTAAGTAATCTTATTATTGATAAGATTTATTTTTTGGGTTTTCTCTCTTTTAATGGGATTCAAGTCATATACCATATCACAATCAATGAGTTGTGTTCAAATAGTTGGAAGCTGATAGGGAGTTTAATAGAAAAAAGTGATTAATGAGTTGTTATCTTCACTTCGTATCAGAGACTGATGTGATTTACATTTGAAAAGGAAACTAACTAATGAGTGATTGCCAGTCTGCATTTGAACAGATAGTGGAACCAAATATATTCCACAAACATTAAGTTTATTTTTTAAGCGTGGTGTGTCATTGCAAAAACTGAACCAACTAGATTTAGACAGATAGTTGGATTTACCAATTTAGCACTAGGATGTGGTCCCTGAATATGTTGTATGACGAATACATGGACTGAACTTCTGCCTCGTGCATAATAGTTTTCTTTGAGAAGAGCTCATCACTAAAGGCTTTTTATGAAATTAAGATCTTATATGTTTATTTCCCTAAAATTTCATCATAGTTGATGATTTATTTTTTGTTGAGCTACTCTTTTCAGACTAGTGGACTTCAATCACACACTTTATCCATGCTTGTAAATGACGTTCCTGGGGTTCTTTACATTGTTACCGGAGTTTTTGCTCGAAGGGGTTATAACATTCAGGTATATTTCTTCTGACCATTGTTATCTTCTGATACACCATCTTTATTTTTAGACCTGGAATAATTAATCAAGTCTTGGTCGAATTTTAGACTTAAGAATCCTTTGGAAATATCAGATATAGGTTTCCTTCTGCTGTTATTCCCTCCTTTGTCTTCTGTTGAGGTAGAAGTTTTAGGCATCTGTTTAATTGAGCTGGTTTCTTGTTTCCAGAGTTTAGCTGTCGGCCATGCGGAAGTTGAGGGGCTCTCTCGCATTACTACTGTTGTTCCTGGTACAGATGAATCAATTAGCAAGTTGGTGCAGCAGCTTTATAAGCTTGTCAATATTCATGATGTGAGAATGCTTAACTATTACAAGGAATGCATTTGTTTAATATGTTAAAGTAAAATTGATTCGTTCTCATCACTTGTGAATTGTGATTAATGCAATGAGTAAATTTAATGCTATTTGGTTAATGCAAATATTGTATATGCATGAGTTGCGTGCTCTGCACCACGTATTCTTGGTCTTGTATTCACGTTTTGACCTGAATCACCTGATTGTAACCTCCCCTTCTTTCAAAGTCATTGTTATTTGTAAATGATGGTTGAAAGCCAAAGAGCATGAAGTATTACCAGTCTGTTGTTGTCTCCCCGCAACTTAATAAATCGCTCTTGGATATAAAAGAGGAGAAAAGAGATAAAGAATCCAAACCCAGCATAGAAAGAGAAAGGTATAAAAGGGTGGGGGAGGATCCATACCCAGCAGTCCAGCACTCAGATAGCTCATCTTGGCTTCATAACTTCTTTGCACCCTTAACTTCTGAGAGTGATAGTTTTGGACCTTTCTTCCTTGTGCTCTTGTTATGGATTTATTTTTTAATTTTTATGTTTCATAAGTTCAGCATCCACAAGACTAATATTATCGTAAGTCTGGTTATGTTAAGAATACAGTCCTTGATGTAAGTTGTGAACCTAACAGATTTCTGCAAATTCTAACTTTGTTGATGTCGGATGACTTTTCAGGTTCAAGATCTTACCAACTTGCCATTTGCTGAGCGGGAATTGATGTTGATAAAAATTGCTGCGAATGCTGTTGCTCGAAGAGATGTGCTTGATATTGGCAACATTTTTAGGGCCAAGGCTGTTGACGTTTCTGACCACACAATAACCCTTGAGGTGAATATGCCCTTTTCCTATATACAATTAGGGGAATACACCTGAATGCCATGACCCAACGTGAATTGCATGTGTTAAAGAGAATAGACATGCTATGTATTACCTCAAGATGGTGTCTGTGGGGTGGGGTAAGGGGTCATTTTACATTGTTAGAGCCAAATCTCATTCTTCCACAGTTGCTTTACTTGAAGTGGTAGGGTTAATAAGGCATGAAGTCCAACCGTTAATCTCTAAATTGGGCTGTGGCCTTCTCATGTTCTTGGTTTCTTCAATAAGATTTATATTTGTTTGCTGTTGGTAACTTGGTGCTGATCTTATTGATCAATTTGCTTTGGTTCAGCTTACGGGAGACCTGAACAAGATGGTTGCACTGCAGAGGTTGTTAGAGCCCTATGGCATTTGTGAGGTCTGTACTGCAAACTTAGTAGAGTTTCGAATTTTTTGATAAGGTTGGGTTGCATTATGAGTCTTGGCTTTCACTACAACCTGGAATGTTTGTTTTCCCACCTTTTTCGGTGACTTCTTGGTTAGTTTTTGGCTGTTTGTTTTGTTTGATTCTTGCTTTGATGTATGAATAATTCTGGTAATGTTTGTGCGTTTTGCAGGTGGCACGAACTGGACGAATTGCGCTGGTGCGTGAGTCAGGTGTGGATTCCAAACACCTCCGCGGATACTCTTTTCCTCTGTAGTTTTAGTTGGCAGATTTTGACTAGGAAACTTGAGTGAGTTATAAATGTGTGCAAGGTGCACAATTTTGTACGTACATATTGACCGAGGGGCACAATCAGACTAGTACTACTACTTCCTCCGCTAGGATCTTTATTTATTTAATTTCATGATATGTAGTCTCAACGGAACTTGTTTCTTTGCATTACAATAAACAAGCTCGGAAGAAGATCTACACCTGGGTAATCTTTTTTTTTTTTTTTTCGACGAGCTTTGTGGTATGGAGATGTATATGTACAGCAGAGCCAGTGATTCAGGAGAAACTGCGAGCACCTGTTTAATGTTTTCCAACATTGCGACCTGAGAAGTTTGAAGAGGCCGACCAGAGCTGCAGGGCCACTCTCTCCAGAGTCCAGGCCTTGGGCTATGTTCAGAAACTATGTCGAGAAGAAAACATATGCACTAAGCATTCGGCATTCAGCATGAATTTATATATATATATATATATAGAGAGAGAGAGAGAGAGAGAGAGAGAGAGAGAGAGAGAGAGAGAGAGAGAGAGAGAGAGAGAGAGAGAGAGAGAGAGAGAGAGAGAGAGAGAGAGAGAGAGAGAGAGAGAGAGAGAGAGAGAGAGAGAGAGAGAGAGAGAGAGAGAGAGAGAGAGAGAGAGAGAGAGAGAGAGAGAGAGAGAGAGAGAGAGAGAGAGAGAGAGAGAGAGAGAGAGAGAGAGAGAGAGAGAGAGAGAGAGAGAGAGAGAGAGAGAGAGAGAGAGAGAGAGAGAGAGAGAGAGAGAGAGAGAGAGAGAGAGAGAGAGAGAGAGAGAGAGAGAGAGAGAGAGAGAGAGAGAGAGAGAGAGAGAGAGAGAGAGAGAGAGAGAGAGAGAGAGAGAGAGTATGGAAATAGATAATTTGTTCAAGGACATGAGGTAAGACAAGTTGCGGTGTTGTCAATGTCGTCAATGTCATTCCGGTGAAACTAAGACAAGTTGCTTTCCGGTATTGCATCCGGAGAAGAGGCCAACGAGGGGCATTGTCAAGGCCTTGAGCAATGTCTTCCACATAAACCATTTTGCCTTGTTTGATGTAGGAGATAACCAAGTTCAGGAACTTTGGATAAAGGTGGAAGTGATCGGCAACAATGAAGCCTTCCATGCGCACCCGATTCCCCGATCATGTACATCAAATTTTGTACACCTTCAGTGTTGCTACCATTGAACTGTGAGATCATCCCACATGCAGCTATGCGCCCTCGGAACCTCATGTTGAGTAGCACTGCATCCAGCATCTTTCCCCGAAAACTCTCAAAGTAAATATCAATACCTCCTGGAAGTAGAGATTCTTGACCGGAACCCCGGTGGAGCCTTGTGGCAGCTTCAACTTGATCTTGCTCGTGGTCACGTACATGTTTGACTCTTTTGGATTCCCACTGATAATCAATAACACTTGTTTGTTACTCACTTCCTCATCACTACTCGTCAATGCCATTGCTAACTATTCGTCACGTTTTGTTGTTCTCTGTTTAGCATTTGCATTTATACAACATTAATTAAGAGAAATTGCATAACGTCGTAGCAAGCTTTTGCTTAACCCAAAGAAAGAGAAAGAAAAAGAAAAAGGAAACTTGCAGAATGCAGAGCAAGTAAGCTATCTTCTTCGACTCTTGGGGCTTCTATTCTAATTACATTACATTGTTCCCATCATTAAAATTCATCTCTTGTTTGACACAAGAGACAGCACACCCTTTAATTCCAACAGAAATATACTATTATATATGCTAGCATCTTATTAAGTCAATCACACAACATTTATTCAGGCAGGGAAATTAACCGGGCAGCTATACTATTTATTTATAATTAAAAATAAAAAAAAGGAACCCAGTATAGCTGGGCCGGCTATACTATTAATTTTTTTTATAAAGGACCCAGATACAGCCTCACGGCTATAATATTTATTTTTTTTCAAAAAGAACCAAGTACAGCCGTTCGGCTATACAAGTAATTAAAAAAAAAAGGACCCAGGTATAGCCGCCTGGCTTTGCTATTATTTTTTTATAAAAAGCACCCGAGTATAGCCGTTCGGCTGTACTATTAATTTTTAAAAAGGGCCTCAGTATAGCCGCGCGGCTGTACTATTATCTTTAAAAAATGGGAACCCAGTATAGCCGATCGACTGTACTATTATTTTTAAAAAAAAGGGAACGCCCGGCTGTACTTATTATTTAAAAATATTGACCTAGGTATAGCCGCCCGGCGACACTATTTATTTAAAAGACACAGCAGTATAGCCGATTGGCTATACTATTTATTTTAAAAAGTACCCAAGTATAGCCGCCCGGCGATACGACTTAATTTAGAAAAAGTACCGAAGTATAGCCGCTCGGCTATACGATTAATTAAAAAAGGACCCCGGTATAGCCGATCGGCTATACTATTTATTTAAAAAAAAGAAGAGAAAAGGGGAACAACAACACACTCCCTTTAAACAAGCTTATAACCAGCCAGAACAAGCCGATCGGCTATACTATTTTGTAGAGATAATCTTTGAATGATTATCTAAAAAATAGACAATTTGGATTAGTTAATGTTAGTTTAAGGGAGAAGAGGTTTAGAGAATGGTTGGTAGTTTTTAGGATAATAGCTTGACTTGAGAAGATAAACTTTTGAAAAAGTAACAAAGTAGTTTTATTTTATTGATTGAAATAGGAAAAGTACAAGGTTTTAATACTTGAGTTGGCTGATGGCAAGAGTTGGACAGTTGTAGTTTTTTAGCTTGATTGCATTGAGAGGCTAAAAGTCGGTTGCTCATGCAATTGACTTTTTCAAAGTCATTTTTAGCCACAATTTTCCTTCTTATTCTAGATTTTTCTAGTTATAATACATTATATAATTAGTATGATATTTCTAATGACTTTAACTTGTCTACTTCTCTCAATTTTTCTAGATTATTCTGTATTATTCAAGATTTTTCTTTATTATTCAAAGTACAAGTGTGCATTACTTTTTAACAGTTAAATATAATGCGGCGTGAGCCCTACAAGAGTGCCCCTCTAAAAAGCTTATTTGAAGGATACTTAACGAAAGCTATATATATATGTTAATTAGCAAGCATCTTATTAAGTCAATCAGACAACATTAATTCAGGCAGGCAGGGAACAACAGCACACCCCCTTCAAACAAACTTATAAACAGCCACAACAAGCTTACAAACACTTGTACAAACCAAGTGCAAATGTAATTATATGCCTCAAATTACACTTCACAATAATCTTAATTTTGCCATATAGCAACCAAGCAAAAGCTTAAGATTTCCCCAGTGTGATGAAAGTCACTCTCGGGAAACTACAACCACCTGCTTTCCGACATTGCGGCCTGCAAAGAGCCCGATCAGAGCAGCTGGAGCGCTCTATAGGCCTTCAGCTACATCTTCCACGTAGGTGATCTTCCCTTCTTTTAT